AATACATCCTAATTTGGGTTATTTTAAAGACATGTAGTAGAATACATCTCGGCCTAAACTTATGAACAATTATTTATTTGCAAACTTTTATAACAGAAACAAAGAAAAACGTGGGAGTTTAACATTTTCGGTCTTTTTTTGTTAATTTAGCAAAAAAAAATAAAAACCCCAGCGGTGATTAAATACCATTAAAGAAAGCTCCAGTTGTGTGAAGAAAATGATAAAATTTTAGTTTGGGTACAATGTTGTATGACTGCGCAATTGTCAAAGTGTGAGCGCTGAAACCTGAAAAATAGCCTGGGCAGGAGGGGGGGGGGGGGGGGGGGGTGTAAAAGTGCCCAGTATTGAAATGGTTAAAATAAGGACTGCTGTTATGTACTTATGGGATCTAGAAAACTATAGGTGGAATTTTTGTAAAATGTTACCAAAGGTAAACTTACACTTTAAATGGTTTAGGTTTTTGTCTAGGAGGAAACAGAAAAGGCCAATGTACTTATTGCCTCCCAGATACACCACTAGTTCCCTGAAGCTACTTCTAGTTGAAGCCCTGTGAGTGGCAGGCTCTCCAATGTCATTTCGTACACCACAGGACCAGCAGTACTGCACTGCCAGTGGGATGACAAGGGCACACCCACCACCCAGAGCACTGGAAATAGAAGAACCCCCAACTGCTGTTGGAAACATTGCCTTTTTTCCCCCCTGGACAGAATGTTAGCATTTGACCCTTGCTGCAAGGTTAAGCTCTCTTTTATCCAGAGTTCAGCTTTAGAGTGGCGTTAAACCCAAAAGTGTAATATTGCAGCTTGCCAATCATTAGATGTGGTGGCTGCATTAGTTTTTTTTATTTTTTGTTCCCGGTTTCACCTGCTGGTGATCTGGCCAGTAACACCTCCTGCATTAGTGTGCCCCCACTCTGGATGGAAAGGCAACAGGACACCTTTGGACAGCAGTATTGTTAATCTAGGCAGAGTGTTAGATGTACTAGCAGATACACTTAGGGCACACAGGTCCCAGAAAATTGCAGAACCAGTCACAGTGCAACGCCGAAGGTATCCAGCTGGAAGGCTTCACTGCCTGTTTCCCTTACCCAAGATGCTGGCTCCTGCACCTGAAGCCGATTGGCATGGGTGAGGACATCGCTGGATCCCTGGACAAGGAAGTTTCCACATATGAAAGTTACTAAATCCAGGACCCTGCATTCACTATCTGGTCTACCCCAAAGTACACTGAACATGTAAATGCAATTATTTAAGTGAACATAAACTGCTAAATACCTTTTCTCATCAGCTGTTAGAGAAGTCTTGTGACTTCTAGCACCACTGCTTAAAGCCTGTAAGAGGAGTTTCTGTTCTTGCAATTGTCCTATAAGGATGGAGTACACCCGACTGTCTGGATAGTGCTGATCACATGCACTCTGCAAAAAAAAAAAAAAAAAAAAAAAAAAAAAAAAAAAAAACACCCACCTAGCTATACACATCAAAACTGAGCATGTGCAGCTTGCCCCCCAAGGCCCTGTTCTATCATAAGATAGATTGGGGACAGTAAAAGGATCATACATCCCATCCTTTTTACACAATGCAGAGGATTAACCTCTTAGGTTCCACAGTGAGTATAACAAGCATGCCTTACTGCATATACAGACTGAAGTTACTGTTGTGGGTTTAGTAACACTAACAGTCAGCAGCTACAGTATTTGTAGTTGCTGACTTTTAATTCTGGTGGTGGTGGGGGCAGGTTGTTGGGACTTGAGCTCCACTTTTAACCACTTGACGCCCGACCATTGGCCGTATGGCGTCCGGAAAAATGCACTAGCTTTCCGGAAGGCCGCCATTTGGTGTACTCCCGCACATGCGCAGTTAACTGTTTCAATACCGTGCAATTTTACACCTTCCTGCCCAGGCCATTTTTCAGGTTTCAGCGCTCTCACATTTTGAATGACAATTGTGCGGTCATACAACACTGTACCCAAACTAAAATTTTATCATTTTCTTCACACAACTAGAGCTTTCTTTTGGTGGTATTTAATCACCGCTGGGGTTTTTATATTTTTTGCTAAACAAAAAAAAAGACCAAAAATTTTGGAAAAAAAAAAAAAAAAAAAAAAAAAAAAAAAAAAAAAAAAAAACACACATTTTTGTTTCGGTTATAAATGTTTACAAATAAATTATTGTTCTTCATAAATTTAGGCCAAGATGTATTCTGCTACATGTCTTTGGTGAAAATAACCCAAATTAGGATGTATTATTTAGTTTGTAGGAAAGTTATAGAGTTCACAAACTATGGTATAGATCTGAATATTGATCAATCCTGAAGTACTGACAGCCAATCTAATTTCTTGAGGTCCAAGAATGTCAGAACAGTACAGATATCCCCAAATGACCCCTTTTTGCAGAGTAGACAGTCCGACATACTTCATAAGAGGCATGGTGAGTTTTTTGAAGTTGTATTTTTTTGTCATAATTTTTCGGAAAATGAAAAAATTAAATTATTTTCACTATTTTTTTTTTTTTTTTTTTTACACATACTGTCACCAGTGCAGTACAGTGTCATCATATAACTGGCATGGCGGTGAACAGGGACACTGACTGGTGACAGTAAAAAAAATATATATATTTTTTTTTTAATTTAATTTATTACTTTTTTTTAAGATTTTTTTTCATATTTACTATGACCAAAGTAGTACAATGTTACCATAGTAACATTGTACTACTTTGGGGAAGTGATTTTTTTTTTTTTTTTTTTTTTTTTTTTTTACACACAATTTGCTTATAGCAAAGAATTACTTTGCTATAAGCAAGCATTTACCTGAATGAAATCGATTCATTCAGCTTTTTTTTTTTGTGCTTAGCTGTGATTTGGTCACAGCTAAGCACATGACATGTGCATGTGATTAGCTGTGACCAGTCACAGCTAGGCACTAGTATACAATGGATGGCATCATGAATGAAGCCATCCATTGTATACAACTCATGTGACCTGCTGTGATTGGTCACAGCAGGTCACATGGTACCAGCAACGGGAGCCGGTACTCGGATCTGTCATCGGCCGTGTCCGCGGTGCATGGCCGGTGACAGATCGCACTGCTTCGCCAGAGCGCATTAGCGCAAACTGCGCATGTGCGGGAGCACGCCAAATGGCGTGCACCTGGAGTGCAGAGACACTTTTGAAGCCGCCAAACGGCCATTGGCCGGGCGGCTAATGGTTAAAAACAAAAAAAAAAAAAAAAAAAAAAAACCCTGAATCGATGCCAGTCAGGTAAATGCTTGCTTATAGCAAAGTAATTCTTTGCTATAAGCAAATTGTGTAAAAAAAAAAAAAAAAAAAAATATATATATATATATACACACACACACACATATACATACACACATACACACACACACTGATCACTTCACCATAGTACAATGTTACTATGGTAACATTGTACTACTTTGGACATAGTGAAATATGAAAAAAAAAAAAATACCTTAAAAAAAAAAAATGTAAAAAAAAAATGTAATAAAAAAAAAATATTTTTTTTTCACACTGTCACCAGTCAGTGTCCCTGATCACCGCCATGCCAGCCAGTTATATGCTGTACTGTACTGGCGACAGTATGTAAAAAAAAAAAAAGTGAAAATTTTTTTTATTTTCCAAAAAAATTATGACAAAAACACAACTTCAAAAAAAAAAAAAAAAAAAAAAAAACCACACTCGCCAAGCCTCTTATGAAGTATGTCGGACTATCTACTTTGCAAAAAGGGGGTCATTTCGGGGATATCTGTACTATTCTGACATTCTTGGACCTCAAGAAATTAGATTGGCTGTCAGTACTTCAGTCCTACAAACTAAAAAAATACATCCTAATTTGGGTTATTTTCACCAAAGACATGTAGAATACATCTCGGCCTAAATTTATGAACAATTTTTTATTTGCAAACTTTTGCAAAAAAAAAAAAAATGTGGTTTTTTTTTCAAAACTTTCAGTCTTTTTTTGTTAAATTTAGCAAAAAATAAAAACCCCAGCGATGATTAAATACCATCAAAAGAAAGCTCTAGTTGTGTGAAGAAAATGATAGAATTTTAGTTTGGGTACAGTGTTGTATGATCGCGCAATTGTCAAAGTGTGAGAGCGCTGAAACCTGAAAAATGGCTTGGGCAGGAAGGGGTAAAATTGCCCAGTATTGAATTGGTTAAAAAAAAAAAAAATATATATATATATATATATTTTTTAATAGTATTGTCAGCACAACCCCCCTTCCCCAAATACTTACCTAGGTGCAGTGCTGTGCCCAGGAGCACTGGCACTGTTCTCACGCTCCCTGACTGCACTCCATGAGAGCAAATGAAGCTATTGGGCTCCTGTCGCTGTCAATCAAATCCCATGACAAGAGTGGGGGGCAGGGCAGCTTGCTATGGTGGCACACAGAAGAAACCCAGAGTGCAAACAGGGGACCCTATTAGCAGAAGAGGATCAGGATGCACATACACGGTTTAATCGTTTTTAAAAAACCCCACACACTTTACAATGACTTGCAGCCAACTAACACTTTATAAGCAGTTATAACTTGTTTTGTTCCCTTTGGTATAAAGGTATTCTAGACACAAATAAAAGCTGATCACTGTAAGCACCGCTATCAGTGGTAAAGGTTTGTCCCAACACTCTGATACATTTGCAGGAGAGCTTGTTCTGTTGAAAAACCAACTTTTCTACCGTCCAGATCACCAGATGAGAGTAAAGGAAAGAAGCCCTAACACAGAACACTAATGCAGCCATCACATAGGAATTGGCAGGCTGGAATATAGTAAATATTTGCTTTTGGGTTTAATAGCGCCACAAGTACAATCGCAGGGTCTGGAGAGAAGGGGTCATCACGACAACAGCGTTGCTAACCACAGAACACCAACAAGGCCATGCATGATCGTGGGGACTACAAGGGAGCACAGAGCACACACACAGGGACCGCTCAGAGATAATGGACCTCATCACTCAAAGCTTCAAGGCAGCTATGGCCTGGTACCTCAACATTCTCAGTGAGCCCATACTCTGAATGGGGGTTTTCCGAAACCTGCAAAACAAAACAGCGGTCAGCAGAGACAAGGGAAGCCAGCGGGGTGAGCTCTGCACTACACACACTTACCTGGCTCTGCCCGCTCTCTGCGCTCTGCTCGGCTTCCATCGCTTGTCCCCGGGAAGCACACCTACAAGACAACAGAGCGATACACCTTCACTACAGCACACCGTGTGAGGGACCACACACAACAAGCGGCTTTATACACACCTCACAACCGCGGGCAGCACAGCGCATGCACCGGAAGCTGCTCGGAGATATGGCAACCTAACCGTACACTTCCTTATCTCCGCCCACTTCCTGGGGCTGCCTATGGACAGGCGCAGAGCGTCTGACCAATAGCAGAGCAGCTGCGAGTCAGGTTTTGGAAGAACTGTGATAGGCAGCTGGAATTGCCATTTTTGTTGTGGGATGTTTGGGCAATATTTAAGTGCTACATTATTAACAACTTGCCCTCCAGAGGGTTTACCCAAGCCAACCCCCCCTCCCTCATGGCAAGGCCACTTTTTCAGATACGGCGCTGCGTTACTTCAACTGACAATTGCGCGGTCTTTCAACTCTGTCCGTAAATTCTCCTCTTCGTGCTGCCGCACACAAATGTGCGACCTCCCGGCGTCTGGGCCTTGAGCGGGCTGCACATTTGCGTGCAATTAAGAAAAACATATGTACTGAGAGCGCACGCCCTGCGCACTCGCAGCACTGGTCTGGTACTTACAGAAAGGTCCCGATCTCCTCTTTCAATCCGGACCTTTCCCAATTCTGTGACCACCGTGACAGCGAATCACAGCGGTCACATGACCCTAAAACCCCGCCGAGCCTCCAGGCTTCTGAAACCCTTAACCTCCCTGGCGGTATTCCTGAGTGTAGCTCGGGGTAAAGTTTCAGCACCACAAGCGGTAACCCCGAGCTACACTCAGGAATACCTTGCAGCGTTGCTCCGGGATCTCTTCTACACTTACCGTGTCCTGCACTTCCACGATGTTCACCCTGCAGCGTCCCCGGCAATGTCCTTCGGCCGATGACGGCATCTGTCTTCTGGGTTCGGTCCCTGCGAGCATCGGGACGTACGGGGACGTAACCGGAGGGAAATTTAAAAATGTCAAAAAGTGACATTCACTAAAATCACATAGTAAAACATTACTGTATCAAACCGTTTCACATACATTTTGTCCCTAGTGCTTTGTCCTCTGCCCTGCCTGCATTTTTACTGTTCTTTCTTCCTTGAAACTGAGAAATGTCCATGGTGTCCAAAAAGCGTCTTTAGGTCAAAAGCGGTTTTAGACCAGCTAGAGAGCAGCGATAGTAGATCAGAACCACTTGCAGAATTGAGTGATAATGATTCGTGGGGAAATTCATCATCAGACACTGAAAACGATTTTGCGACTTTGCTCAGTGATGTGCGAACTTGGCGCTATATTTATAATTTCAGTGTTTTTGGTTTGATTATATTATTGAATTAAATTTATTATTATATTATTTTTTTTTATGATTATTTATTAAATTATAATTTATGATTTCGTGTTTCAAATTTTAACATACCTGGGATGTTTACTAGACTCTTGCTCTGACAGATTTCAGTGAGTTTTTCCTAAAAATTACAGGCCTACAATAAAAAAAAAACATATTTCCATGCAAAAAAATGTACCACTTTGAGCACAGAAATACTGACATAATCAGACCGCTAGGGAGGTTAAAGGGCCAGGAGGCGCCGGTACCAAGGGGTTAAATATGTCCTTTTTTTCCCCAATAGAGATCTCTTTCAGTGGTACTTGATCAGCTCTGCGTTTTTTTATTTTAAATTAAAAAAAAACAAATTTTGTCATAAATTTAAGCCAAAATGTATTTTCTACGTCTTTGCTAAAATAAAATATCCCAATACGTATAAATTAATTGGTTTACATGAAACCAACTACAAATGGCGGTATATATACTGAAATTTAATTTTTTTTTTTATACTAATAATGGCGGTGATCAGTGACTTATAGTGGGGCTGCAGCAGCAATCTGGCACAGGGTGGGAACTAACTACCACTGACATCCCCAATGACACTAATACAGTGATCAGTGCTAATAAAAAGCACTGACACTGTACTAATGACATTGGGCAGGAAGGGGTTAACATCTGGGGCGATCAAAGGGTTAACTGTGTTCTGTTTTACTATGTGTGCTGTGTGCGGTTTTAGTAAGGAGCCATGCTGTTGTATTCCTCTACTGTGCAGAGAAATACAAAACAGCATGTCCTTGCTAGCAGGAGAGAGACCTGTGTTGTTTACACACAGGTCTTTTCCGTCAGCTTTCCACAGCGACCGCTGGGTGCCGGCGGGGAATCTCCACCTGGGACCTGGTGATTGACATTCCTAACCGCCAATGGCGGCATGGGTAGGGTGGCGCACATGCATGCTCCCTACCCGGAAATGCAAATCACGTATATATACACGTGATTTTGCGCAGCCCTGCCGCCATGTAGCAGTAGTTCTATTATTGGCGTCAGGAAACAGGTTAAGGTGTTACTAAACCCAGGACCCTGCATTCATTCTATCTGATCTCCCACAGTACACAGAACATGGAAATTCAATTATTTTAATAAATATATACTGCTAAACACCTTTTCTCATTAGCAGTTGGAGCAGTCTTGTGACTTCTATCAGTGTTCAGCAGAGCACTGGTTAAAGCTTGTAGAATGAGTTTTCTTTCTGTTTCACTTGCATGGACAGCTCCTTTGAACGCATGATGTAGGTTCACAGCAATAGATTCCAAATGCAAATACCACACTTAGAATAAACTCCAGACATTTTACCTGCTTAACCAATGAAGAAATACCAAAGGAGTAGCCAACACCTGGCCATGAAACAGCTTTTGATTCAATTGTCCAATTATTTTTTTGTCCCTTGAAAAAGGGGGATGGCTACTCTTAAGAGCTGTAATTCCTAAAACCTTCCTCCAATTTGGATGTGCATACTCTCTAATTAAACCTGAGAGTGTGCATTTTCAGCCCATATCCATTATATAACTATAGCTTGAATATGTTTTGGTAAATACCTGAAAAAAATGAAAATTGTGTCTGTGTCCAAATATATATGGACCTAACTGTATTAACTACTTCCCGCTGGCTGTAGACATATATGCAGCTGCTGGGCAGGTAGACCTTAATGCCAAGTGGCCACATATGCATCCACGGGGAATGTTTTTTTTCTGCGCTGAGAGCACAGTCCCAGCATAGTAACTAAGATGTCACAAGCAGCTGCTGATACTCCGCTCACACTCCAGAAACTCAGCATCAATAGGTCCAGCTGCAGCTCTCCAGAAAAGATGCTAGCTGTGAGAAGCTGCAGGACCATCTTCTCCTGCCTGGCAGTGGCCTTCAAGCAGCTTACAAGACACACTGATTGGCTACAGCTCAAAATTATAATTGATGGCTTTCAGGAAAGTGGGCACTTGGGTGGGACCACCTCGCCCTGCACATGGGGGTACCTTATCACACGTGTGCACGCTCATCAATGCTCAGGACCAGGCTGGGCCACTTTCATGTGACATCAACATTATGATGGTACCCTGGTTTAGAGATGAGCCGTCTTTTGTGTGTAGTAGATAAATGTACCTCTGTAAAACATGCTGTCCCATATTACTGCACACCTTGCCTGTGAGTTGTTGAATTTAGGAGGGGACACAGCTGAGCCTATGCCCTCTTCACCTGTCCAGCATACCTCTGACACCTCACTCCCAGTGACAGAATGGGGTCTTGTCATACACATAGCGCAGACCTCATGCGTGCACAAAATTAACTCTTGCTGTTCCCTCGTACCTTGTGGCCAGGCAGTGGGTCTCCATAACTTGGGTACGGTCCCGTTACCTTCGGGGATCAGACCATTGGGGAGGGAGTCAGAGCACTGACCCCCTCACTACCAGAGAGCCTGTCACCATGCCAGGTACCACGCTTCATGACAGGCTGCTGTTCACTTTTCACCAATACCTGGTTACCCAAGACAACTACTCGCTTCTTCCAACTCCTCTTCTGAGTTACTCCTTTGTAGTGGCTTTCCTCCTGTACCCAGTGTGAGCTTTACAGGCCCTGTTCTTTCATATGCCAGAAACCAGCAACCCTTTAGCATGACTTCAGACCAGGCTTGAAACAATTGAAGAATAAGTTCACCTTTCCACAAAAAAATGCACATTTTTGCAGGTAAAAAAATGTGCATTTATTATTTTTGTGTTAGAAGCCTGTAAAGCATTGCACCAGCAATCAGCAGATCGCTGATGCCATGTAGGTCTCCTGCACAGTGTCAATATATCTGCTTGCTCATACATCCCATATGGACAAGCCGATACTTGCTGACAGGAAGACTCAATGAACTACCACAGCGCCGTAATAGTTCATTAAGGACTACAAGCCGACAGCCCCTAAGGATGTTGGGACTTGTAGTCAATTCATTCACAGAACACATTGAATAAATGACGCAACCGTGTGGGCAGAGTGCTGCACAGTCGCACGGTTTTTGAAGACTAACAGCTATTATGGGGAACTTCTCCCTGTACAACTTCTGTCACAGGGAGGGGGCGACAGCGGGAGGCAGCTGCAAGACTGGGAACATGTTACATGTTCCACCCTAAAAACGTGTAACATGTTCCCAAAGGTGAACTTATCCTTTAATTAACCACTTGCCCTCCAGAGGATTTACCCCCCTTCCTAACCAGGCCATTTTTTGCCATACGGCTTAGTTACTTTAACTGACAATTGCGCGGTCATGCAACGCTGCACCCAAATGAAATGTACGTCCTTTTTTCCCTCCGAAATAGAGCTTTCTTTGGGTGGTATTTGATCACCTTTGTGTTTTTAATTTTTGAGCTATAAACAAAAAAAAATATGCATTTTTGATTTTTTTGCTAGAAAACATATCCTGTAAAAAAATCTAATTTAGTCATAAATTTAGGCCGAAATGTATTCTTTGCTAAAAAAAATCAAATCCCAATACATGTAAATTAATTGGTTTATGTGAAAGTTTTAATATTTTTTTAATACTAGTAATGGCAGCGATCAGCGCGCCTTATAGCGGGACTGCAGTGGGTATTCCGACACTGGGGGGAACTAACTGCCACTGACATCCCCAGTGACACTAATACAGTAATCAGTGCTAATAAAAAGGAATGACACTGTACCAATGACACTGGGCAGGAAGGGGTTAACATCTGGGGCGATCAAAGGGTTAACTGTGTGCTGTTTTACTATGTGTGTGTTTTTACTAGGGAAACATACTGCTTTGTATTGCTCTGATATGCAGAGCAATACAAAGCAACATTTTGGTGCTGACAGG